TGATCAAAAAGGTTGCGAGTTCGAGCCTCGGGTGGTGCACTACTTGGGGTTGGCGCGTATGCCTGGCTGATGAGGGTTACTAAGCCAGAAATTGCCATTCCAGTCTCCCGCTTGTCTTTGCTGGCAGTACTATCTGCCCAGACTACTAGCCGCTACGGCTGCCGTCAGGGCCCGTGAAATGTTGCCCAAGACAGAGCAGGACAAGTGAGTTCTGTTAGCGGTCAGCGAACGCTCATCAATGAGACCCTTCAGTCCGTTAAAGGCCGAATAGCTCTTCTACGCAAATGGAGATTTCTCGAACTCTGCGTGTATTTAAACCTATGGGGATTGACAGTCTTTGAACGCGGTCTCTGTCGTGACAAAGTTTTACTACTCGCGGGTACATGGCGAATAGCCTTAAACGCGGATTGTAATTGTTTTCGTTACCGGCATTGTACTGGTCATTTTAGACGTATCCGTTTGTATCGTTAGTGCCGTGAAGTTAAAACCTTACCCAACTGAGGTTTTTGGCCGCCGTGGGCTGGACTCCAAACTGATTTTACCCTTCAGTCCAAACACATATCGACATTTCAAGGCACAGCTCTGCAATTAAAAGTATGTGTTTGCCTGTCTTTTGCTCTGAGCTCGATCTACCCGAATATCTCCTACCCTATCTCCCGTATGTCTGCTGCCTGCTTTATCCTTCAGTTCCCTAAAAATTTCTTCAATCTTTCCCTTTTTTTTCAGTTGTTGCTGATAAGAAAGCGGAGCAGGAGCGACAAATGAAGTTGGAAAAGGAGCGTCAGGTACGTGACTATCTTTTCCTTCCTCCTTTGTTTCATTGCTTTTTTTCTAATTTTAGTGGCAGTTTTTTTAGTTAGAACGTAGAGATGCAATCAACGCGGGGTTGCGTGGGGGCCAATTCCTTTGAGCACTTGGCGCATCAAGTTAGGGTTGCAGTGCTGTTGCAGTGGATAGCATTCTGCATTTAGTAGTATTGCTATCACATTTGTCTTTTTTATAATTAGCTATTAGTAACAGTTACGTTGGCCGCCCACCTTAGATGCCCCTAGTCCTGTGGTTGCTATTAGTTGTTGCTTTGTTTTTTGGTTTATCAGTTTTAATTTTAAGTTA